GACCCAACACCAAAGAAACACGACAGTTAAGCCTCATGAGCTGTTTTGCCCAATTTTTGTCCTATCCTCAAGGGGTATGTTTGGAAGTGGTACAACCTTTGACTTCGCCTAATTTCGTTGGGTGATCCAGGCGTACCTGCGGCCAAGGGCTCTGGGATCCAATGCAAGATCGGAACCCTTGGTTGAAGCCTCACAAGAAGGAACCCCTTATAGAATATGGAGGGAAATCAAAAGTCCTGCCTCCTCCCTCCACCGTTCCTCGCAACATTTCGGAATCCGGAATCCTGGAAAGGCCTAGTTGGGCTCGATTCTTCGCTTGACCCTTTGGACATAAAAGTTGGGAGGGGTAGTGTCCACCAAGCACCGAGGGGGGGGGGGTCCCTTAAGTTCGTAGCGATCTGGGCCGTTTTGATGTAAGCCCAGTTTGAGAAACGCCGCGCTGAGGCACAGGCCTGTCCCACTGACCATTCTGGCGAGCGTAAACATTTCGGGTCTGTCTCAAAACCGAGGAACCCTTTTTGGATGGCTATTTCATGGGGAAACCAACAGGAAACCAACCACCTGAAAAATTGGTTCCTGACTTTGAGAAACACCCAGTGAGCATCATTCCCTGGGAAAAACAACAACAACACATCAAGCCATTGAAATTCATAAACACGCGCCAGGTTGCTGGTTGGCAGCGCTTTGTTTGTTGTTTGTGAGGGAAGAAACTGCAGTCATATATATATATATAGATCAAAACTTGGCCCACAAAAAAAGGGGGTAAACATGCAATAATATGCTCAAACTACTCTTCATAGCTGGTGCAAGGAAACTGAATGAGTTACTCACTCACACACGCCCTTGGGGAAAACGAAAACGAACACGCAACTGTCAAAACTAAAGACCCTTTTCTTATCCTTCTGTACAGGCGCCACCTTGCGGGGCACCAAACTGGTGCCTCTTATCAAGGTGCCCAGCAACTTTTTGACAACCCCCCCCCCAATTGCACAAATCTTTGTGTTTTTGAGCTAGCCTTTGCGGTTTGATTCAAATATTCCATCCCCCCCAATGTCAAATGGCCTCCAAAACAGCCCCAAGAAGAAGGTGGCTTAACCCATTTGATATAGCCATTGGGGTGTCCCATAGTTTTTGTTGCCCTGGCCATTAAGTATGGTATGCTGAAAGAAAAGAAAAGCATCGCTGCACAGGGACTCGTTTCTGAGGGAATCCAAAAGGAAAACGCATTCACCCACACAACGTGGTTTTGAAGGGAATCCAAAGGAAGTCCAAACCCATATGCAATTTCGGCTGCAACTGGCTCTTTTCCACTGTCTAAGTGGCTCTTTGATTTTGATGGCAACTTTGGCAAAACTGTTGCTCGCCGCGCCTATGCCTCATAGGCTGTTCTCGCGCGCTGGCATAAGCCTGTCAGGCCAGCGCCCTATTTAGACTACAATGTCATGTTGGCAGATCTGCTCTGGCAACTTGTCTGCGATGTCACCTTGCGTTGTGTTGTAAGAGCTGCGCAGCACCAGTCAGACATCGTACGGACATGTCTCACAGATGCGAAAAACAATCCTAACAAGAATGTTTTTTGAATCAAACAAACTTTGGCAGTCTGCTGAGGTGACTGCAGGCTTAAAGCAACATGTTGCCATCTCAGCCAAAAAAGCCACCATGCTCAATGGCCTGGCCTTGTCGCCAGTCCATTTCAACGCCAGTCAGGCGCAGCACTTTCGTCTCCCACTGTTTCACGCACTGTCGTAAGCTGCTCGCTGTCTTATACCCTGAGTGCTTCGCACTTTGTGTTGCACACGTTTGGAGGTTGTGTTTGTTAGCCGGCGTTGCCTGACTACTTGAACTACAAGGCCGTTTGGTTCTTCAATGCTTTTGGTGTCTGGGCCCGTGTGCCCGTGTCACCTTGCTAGCGTCGTGAACAGGGCAGGCGAGGGCGGGCCACGTTGTGGCAAAGGCTTGCCCATTCGAAAGCCGAACGCCTGCATGACAACACACGTTGAGCCCCTGGCCTCTTTGGCCCTGCACCAGCTTTTGGATCAGTTATGTTATTTGAGGGCTGGCTGGCCGAAAGCTGGCAATGCGCAGGGCAACTTTGTCAACAACCTTCCGTAATTCTCAAGCAGTTTGGGCCGGAACCAGCGCACGCCGGGGGCAAACACCTCTGCGCGAATTGAAGCAGCTCACCAGTATTTCATGTCTTGAACAAGTTCCATAACTGAAGCTACTTGCGCGGCGTTGTGCTGCTTGGCAACTAGCAGTGTTGACCGTGTGATAGACGCATGCAGACACACGTGCTCGGCGCGACTTAGGAAGCCTATAGGCCACGTCATGTCAGAGTTAGATTTGGCGGCGATGTTTCCGCTCTTGGGACGGCCTGCCGCTTTCTAACGCGCGCCGCAATCCGCACCGCAACTGAGCAAACCAATTCAGAATCACAAAGTGCAAATACTCCAACTTGCTTTCAAGAAAAATTCACGCGAAAGAGGCAGCCGGTTGAAGTTGAAGGCTTTGCCGCATCAACAGACCGGCATTCGGCTGCAGCCAAATGCGATGTTTCTCGGGTTTGCGCTTCGTCTTTCTGCGGAAACCTGTCGCAATTTTGCTCCGGCATTCAGCTGCAGCCAAATCCGTTTTTGGAATAGCGATGGAAAACAACCACAGGTTTGCTCCCGCGTCATTCTGCAGCCAAATGCGCTTTCGGGTGTGCGTTCGGTATGCGAGAGACAAGCTGCATTTTTTCTGGGGCATTGGCCTGCAGCCATGTCCGCTATCCGGATGCCGACGGGCCTTCCAGGAAACAAATCACAACCACGGAAAGCCAAGCACGGCGCAATCTGCAGGAAAATGCTGGGGCAGTGTTGTGACTCATTTTCGCGAAAACAAATCGCACTCCAAGAAAATGTGTTTTTAGATATAATTCTCTCATCCCTCTTTAGTTTGGATGATGGAATCGGGGGCTGCAGCCAAATGCTGGAGCAAAATCGCGATTTGTCCTTGAATACCTGTCGGATGCTGGGGAAAGACCCAACGCAACCCTGAAGCGGATTGCGCTGCAGACGCCAGCCGGAGCAAGATAACAATATATAGACTATCCAGAGAACCAACCGCAGTCCTGAGAAAAGGGTTTGGCTGTAGCCAACTGCCGGTTGCCTGGGAAAGCCAAGCGCAATCCCGAAAGAGGACTTGTCTGCGGAGAGTGTGATTGGCTGGCTGCAGCCGATTGGCTGGCTGAAGCCGAACGCCGGACCAAATTGTGACTGGTTGGCTGCAGCCGAATGCCGGGCTCAAATTGTGATTGGTTGGCTGCAGCCGAATGCCGGACCCAGATTGTGATTGGTTGGCTGCAGCCGAACACTGGGCTCGAATTGTGATTGGTTGGCTGCAGCCGAACGCCGGGCTCAAATTGTGATTGGTTGGCTGCAGCCGAATGCCGGGCTCAAATTGTGATTGGTTGGCTGCAGCCGAATGCCGGGCTCAAATTGTGATTGATTGGCTGCAGCCTAATGCCGGGCTCAAATTGCGATTGGTTGGCTGCAGCCGAATGCCGGGCTCAAATTGTGATTGGTTGGCTGCAGCCGAATGCCGGAGAGCCGAACACCGGGCTCAAATTGTGTTTGGTTGGCTGCAGCCGAACGCCGGGCTCAAATTGTGATTGGTTGGCTGCAGCCGAATGCCGGGCTCAAATTGTGATTGGTTGGCTGCAGCCGAATGCCGGGCTCAATTGTGATTGGTTGGCTGCAGCCGAATGCCGGGCTCAAATTGTGATTTGGTTTTTGAAAACACGATCGCATTTTGAGGAACGGGTTTGGCTGCAGCCGAATGCAGGAGAGAGTGCAGGAGAGCATTGCGAGCGGTTTTTTGGAAAACCCGTCGTGTTCTCGAACTGAACCCCAGAGCAGAGTTATGATTGTCTTCCTGGAGAACGAATCGCAATTCACAAGAAAAAGCGAGAACGGATCAGCTCAGAACATTATAGTCGCCAAACAAAGCAGTGATTCATATGCCCCTGACACTGGATTGTGTGATTGGGTTTCTGGAAAGACAATCGCAAGATGAGGTGGCATGTGGGCCTGCCAAGTATGATTGGTTCCGTGATTTTGCGGTTGAAGAAGGTTGACGCTGAACTTGGCTTGTGACATCTCACTGGCGCAGGTGTTTACTCCATCGCAGCAGTTTTTAATCAGGCCAGCCCGCCGTCCGCAAAAATTGGAGGGGAAACCATCTGACCGCCGAGTTGCAAACCGACGTTGCGACGAAACAAAGCAGACGCATTTCACATGGGCACCCTGCTGCAGTCGAGTCGGGCTGGGCTTGCCTGTGACGGACTGGAAGTAGTGAGTGTAAAATGGCTAGCGCTGTGGCAGATTTGCTTTCGGAACAGCCTCGTGACTCGTGACTGACAAGCCACTTCATGTATATGATGTTCATGCAAGAACTCGTAAAGTTGTTGGACAACTTTGCGAAGCAATCTGCGCTCAGGCAAGTCAGGAGGAGCAGGCAAACCCTCTCTTCCACCCCCTCCTTGGCTCATTTCTTGTAGCAGGCCTTGCCCAGACATCGTTTTTCCCAGCTTAGTCGTTTCGGCAGTTTGGCTCAAACCAGCGCCCAATCTTGGCGCTCTATGTTTCTGAGCTTGTCTGCGGCGCTGCGAAGCCGCCGTAGGAAGGCAGGGATCACGCCATTCCTTCAGATTCCGCTTGGCCAACGCCACTTCAGCCTTGTCAGTTTGAGGCGACGCAAAAGAGAAAGAACTGCTGGCGGTGTTGGAAAACGCGTCATGAGCTTGCAGGGCCTGGCAGGACACGCCAAGGACTGGTTCTTGCTGCCATGCGTGCGCGGAAAAGAGCTTCAGCGTTTGTGCTGGGGCTGCTGAACAAGGACACGCAAAACCGGTGTCATCCTTCCCGGGAGCAATGTTGGAACTGCACGAGCGTGATGCGTTTCCACTTTGCCAGAGCAGCAAGATATGGCAAGATGTTGGTAAAGCTGCCCAGACATTATGTGAAATAGCTGGAAAGCACTTCATTCAACTCCAAACCCAAGTGAAGCCTGTGGCGGCAAAGCAGCGTACCTGTTTCCACCGCAATCTTGCATGCTTCCGCCGTAGCCCCGTCGCGCAATCAAAGCTTGGAAAAACGGCCAGAAAACTGTCAACGCTGTCCAAAACAGCTGGTTGGCAGCCGATGCCTGCAAAATCTGAAAAAGTTCGGGCAGAGAACGCGCTGTGTTTGCCGCGCGCCAAGCGTAAACGCATATCATACTTCCGGCCTGGCACCATACCTTGTTTTAGCGGTGTAGCTACTAACAGCTGCTCGTTGCAAGCGGAAATGCTGTCGCACTGCTCAGACTGGCATGAGGCAAAAGGCAGTTGTTGCAATAGACTTGATCGACTTTTGGCATGCACCCACCAGAAAGGCAACGCGCATGCCAAGGGTTGCGGCGCTAGTGCACCTTGGGACAACTTGCGAAAAACGCCGAAAAAAACCTGACGCCTCCGTGGGCGCAAAAGGGAGTCTGTTTGAGTCCACGGCTTAGGCTTGGTCAAAGAAGGTTTTGCAGCAATATGATAGTCGAACCGCAGCGCCTTTTAGCTTTCCAGTCATGCAGCGCACGTGTGTCTGCATGCGCCTATCACACGGTCAACACTGCTAGTTGCCAAGCGGCACAACGCCGCGCAAGTAGCTTCAGTTGTGGAACGTGATTGTTCAAGACATGAAGCAGGACACTGCCATATTCGTGAGCTGCTCCAGTTTGTGCACAGAGGTTTTTGCGCCCGGCCTGCACTGGTTGGGTTGTGGAAAAGCCTTTCAGGCCCAAACCGCTTGAGAATTGCGACAAAGTTGCCCTGCGCATTGCCAGCTTTCGGCCAGCCAGCCCTCAAATACACAACTGATCCAAAAGCTGTTGCAGGGCCAAAGGGGCCAGGGGCTCAACGTGTGTTGTCATGCAGGCGTTTGGCTTTCGATTGGGCAAGCCTTTGCCACAACGTGGCCCGCCCTCGCCTGCCCTGTTCACGACGCTAGCAAGGTGACACGGGCACGCCCAGGCGCCAAAAGCGTTTAAGAACCAAACGGCCTTGTAGTTCAAGCAGTCAGGCAACGCCTGCTAACAAACAAAACCTCCAAACGTGTGCAAGGCATGGTGCGAAGCACTCAGGTTAAAAGACAGCGAGCAGCTTACGACAGGGTTTGAAGCCGTAGGAGACGAAGGTGCCGCGCCTGACCGGCGTTGAAATGGCCTGGTGACAAGGGAAGGCCACTGAGCATGTTGGTTTTGGCTGAGATGGCAACATGTTGCTTTAAGCCTGCAGTCACCTCAGAGACTGCCCAAAGTTTGCTTGATTCAAAAAACATTCTTGTTAGGGTTGTTCTTGCGCATCTGTGTGACGTGTGCGTATACGAAGGCTGACAGGTGCTGCGCAGCTCTTACAACACAACGCAAGGTAACATCGCAGGCAGGTTGCCAGAGCAGGTTTGCCAACGTGACATTGTAATCTAAGTAGGGCGCTGGCCTGACAAGCTTACGCCAGCGCGCGAGAACAGCCTATGAAGCATAGGCGCGGTGCCGCTGGGCAGGGCCACGCCCTGCCTTGTGGAGCAACATGCAGTTTTGCAAGAGTTGCCACCAAGGCTCAAAGAGCCACTTAGATAGTGGCAAAGAGCCAGTTGCAGCCGGAATGGCATCCATATTTTTCCTGGTGCTTTTAGACATCACCTTGGCCCATGGAGGTCCCTTGGCCAGGTCCTCCAGTAGAGAGGTTAGAATAAGGGATAATAAGGGTACCCTTTTTTCTGTAGTCTATTTTCGTAGGGGAACCCTCCCAAAAAAAGGTAAAAGGGCACTACTGGGGGACCTCGTTGGTGTTTCAAACCAGGTTTTTCGTTTTGGAGAAACCGCCTGGAAGATGCCCTCCGCCAGCGAGGCCTTGAAGCGTTGCCTAGGAGCTCGATGGGTCGCTCGCGGCACCCATGAGCTCAAGGCCGCATCTAGGAGCACATGTATGTGTGTATATATTATACGCATTTATGTACACGTTCATTTGTTAATGAGTTCATTTGTTCATTCAAGTGTTCATTCATTCGTTCATTCGTTCATTATTTCATTCGTTCATTCATTCGCTCATTCGCTCATTCGTTCACGTTCATTTGTTCATTAGTTCACGTTCATTTGTTCATTCGTTCATTTGCTCGTTCGTCCGTTCGTTCATTCGTTCATTCGTGCATTTGTTCACTCGTTCACTTGTTCATTCGCTCGTTCGTTCATTCGTCCATTCATGCGTTCATTCGTTGTTCATTTGTTCATTCGCTCGTTCGATCATTCGTTCAAATGTTCATTCGTTCGTTCCTTCATTCGTTCATTCTTTCACTTGTTCATTCGTTCACTTGTTCATTCGTTCGTTCCTTCATTCGTTCATTCGTTCACTTGTTCATTCGTTCACTTGTTCATTCGCTCGTTCGTTCATTCGTCCCTTCATGCGTTCATTCGTTCATTTGTTCACTGGTTCATTTGTTCATTCGCTCGTTTGTTCATTCGTCCATTCATGCGTTCATTCGTTCATTTGTTCACTGGTTCATTTGTTCATTCGCTCGTTCGTTCATTTGTTCATTTGTCTATTCGTGCATTCGTTCATGCGTTCATGTGCTCATTCATTCGTTCGTTCATTTGCTCATTCGTTCATTCATTTGTTCATTTGTTCATTCGTTCATTCGCTCATTCGTTCATTGGTTCATTCGTTCATTCATTCGTTCATTCGCTCATTCGTTCATTTGTTCATTCGTTCATTCATTCGTTCATTCGTTCATTAGTTCACGTTCATTCGCTCATCCGCTCATTCGTTCATTTGTTCATTTGTTCGTTCATTCGTTCATTTGTTCACTGGTTCATTTGTTCATTCGCTCGTTCGTTCATTCGTCCATTCATGCGTTCATTCGTTGTTCATTTGTTCATTCGCTCGTTCGATCATTCGTTCAATTGTTCATTCGTTCGTTCCTTCATTCGTTCATTCGTTCACTTGTTCATTCGTTCACTTGTTCATTCGCTCGTTCGTTCATTCGTCCATTCATGCGTTCATTCGTTCATTTGTTCACTGGTTCATTTGTTCATTCGCTCGTTCGTTCATTTGTTCATTCGTTGATTTGTTCATTCGCTCATTTGTTCATTTGTTCATTCGTTCATTGCTCATTTGTTCATTCGCTCGTTCGATCATTCGTTCATTCATTCGTTCATTCGTTCATTCGCTCATTCGCTCATTCGCTCATTCGTTCATTTGTTCATTCGTTCGTTCATTCGTTCATTTGTTCACTGGTTCATTTGTTCATTCGCTCGTTTGTTCATTCGTCCATTCATGCGTTCATTCGGTCATTTGTTCACTGGTTCATTTGTTCATTCGCTCGTTCGTTCATTTGTTCATTTGTCTATTCGTGCATTCGTGCATTCGTTCATGTGTTCATTCATTCGTTCGTTCATTCGTTCGATTGTTCTGTCATTCACTCGTTCGTTCATTCGTTCATGCATTCGTTCGTTCATTCGTTCATTTGCTCATTCGTTCATCCATTTGTTAATTTGTTCATTCGTTCATTTGCTCATTCGTTCATTGGTTCATTGGTTCATTCATTCGTTCATTCGTTCATTTGTTCATTCGTCCGCCTTCACTCATCCATCCATTTATTCGCGTATTCATTCATTCATCTCATTTCATTTCATGTCAAACCGGGCCCAGGGATGGCAAGGGCGAAAAGAAGGCTCTGCGCATCTTAGAAGGGTCCCGGAGAGTCTCGAGCGAACTCCGACATGATCCGAACGGCTTTCAAGCCGAGCTCCCGACCTCGTCTCCTCCAGGCTCTGTCGCAGACTGCGCGAGCAAACTAAGGGTTGATTCTGCAAGGGCAAACAGTGAGGTTTTTACCTGACAGCAAGGGCAACAGCCAGGGCAACAGTGGGTTGATTCTAAAGGAACTTCCCAGGGAGGTTTTGACCCATGCGACAAACCGCAAGTTTTCTGGGTAGATCCATAGTGGAGCCCCACGAATCCCGCGTGCCTTGCCCAGCACTCGGCCAAGGCAGCTGAGCCTTGGACGTTGGAACCAAGTGGATTGAGGTACCGGTATATCACGTGTAAAAATGAGGGGACCCCCAAAATGATTGTCCTTTACCAACGTGAAAGGGTACCAAGTCCGAAAACACAACCTACGGCCTACTTGTTTCAGGTATCCTTTTGGCTTCGTTCAAAACTGATACCAAAGAAACCCCTCATAGAAAAAGGCGAGTTGGTTGTGCTATCACCTACGTACTTTTTCATAGCGCCTGTCAGCCCGCTGGCGGCGAAGCATGTGCTTCCAACCGCTGCGTCGCTGCACTCAAGGCTCTGAAAGGAGGGAGAAACTGACTGAACAAATATCATGCTCTCAGCCTTGGGGTGTTGAGTACCCCACAACTCATTTGTTCTGGTGAGTGCGCCTCCGCGCACATTCTGCTACCGGGTTTCTCAAAATGTACCCTAGAGGGCGGCTACCCTTAATCAAACACGCCAAAAATTGGGGAGGAGTCAGAAAAAGGGACGCTAGACCACGAGCAAAAGAACACGTCAAAGTATGGAAGCGCCAAAATGGACCCAAACAACTGGCAATGGCCGGTTGTTTAGGAACCCATCTGATGAAAGGTGCGCTTTTCCTTGAACAAAAGACCGCCCCAAGCATGCGGTTTCCTTTTAGTTTCCCCCTTAAAGCCAATGAAAAGAGGAGGATGCCCCAATGGGAGTCCAAATTAATAAACCCCTGCTCGATGTTGATCAGGGGATGTCCCATCTTAAAGGGGACTCTTCATCACTTTTTAGTGAACCACCACGCTAGGAATCCGGCAGGTTTGCTGATCTGGCTTGAACAGGACAATCACCACTTTGAGGGGCTGCTCGGATTTGTCAATTGACCATCCTAAAAGATCCACCCAGTTGAAGTCAACCTTTGGACTGGTACGGCGTGAATTTCAAACATCGTGTGGGCCAACATGTCCAGCCCTCCCCCCCTCTTCCGCGCCATGCAACTTTGATACATACACACGGCAAGAGTGTACGAGAACGTTGGAACAACCCAACCCAAACACAGGCTCAAACATCGGAGGTGCTTTGGACAGCCTTGGTACCTGAAGAATCAAGAATATGTAAAAACATAGACCAAGGGAAAGTCGAGCTTTGTCTGGGAAAAGTTGAGCTTTCCAATTGACACTCGCCTCAAGACTGGCGAAGGGATTCTCAAACACATCGCAAGGGCATGTCACTCCGACTGTTTTCGGCAGAATTGCTTCCCGTAGCCCTCATCCGTCCCAATGACAATTGTGCAAACCCCCGGAACTCCTCTTTTTCTACTGGTTTTCTGCGGGTTGCTACAGAATTCTACGAGCTTTCTACGAGGTGGGGAAAGTGAATACTTTCAGAAAACACATACTTTTGTTTGAGTCTAGGGTTTTCTTCGGCTTACTACGGCAAAAGTACCTGTTCCACAGCGAGCAGGATCCATCCAAAAAGCTTGAAGCCGTTGCAAAAGAAGGGCTCGTTCACAATGCTTTCCGCGAAAGCTAGGACCCTGAAAGCTGCTGAAGACTCAAGCCCCCATGATTCTAAAGGTTTCTACCCAGCGAGGGTTTTCCCAAAAAGATGAACTTGTAAAGCCGAGTTGCTTTCCATTGGACAAAAGTCATGTTGTCTGGAAAGAACCCACAAATTCATGGATGTTGGAGCCTCTAGACTGTGATTGGAACCAAACTGAAACCAGTGCCATCTATCCGAAACATTCCACGCATATCCATGTATGGCATATTCACCCAGATTTGCCCTCCGAACGGGTCAAAGAATGGTATATATCGCCTACATGGAGAGTGCGGGTATGTTCAATTAGCCTAAATTGCAGAAACTGCCCAAGCTGTCGCCGACTCGCCCACCTTGTCGACACTGCCAGTAGACTTGCCACTGAATGATTCCTGGCGCGCCGTCCCAAGCAAGCCCACAACGCATCAGTGTGGCACCCGCCAGGTGCCTTAAGACAAACCTCTAGGCGCCTCCAGCCAGGTTGCATGTTACTGGGTGGGAGGGTACCTATTAAATATGTATATAATAATATATCTAGATATATCTCCAGCTCGAAAATCGCAACTTTGTAGTACAAGTCTAGTACGCGAAGTACACTTCCGCAGCTCCAGCTCGAAAATCGCAACTTTGTAATACAAGTCTAGTACGCGAAGTACACTTCCGCATCTCCAGCTCGAAATTCGCAACTTTGTAGTACAAGTCTAGTACGCGAAGTACACTTCCGCATCTTCAGATCGAAAATCGTAACTTTGTAATACAAGTCTAGTACGCGAAGTACACTTCCGCATCTTCAGCTCGAAAATCGCAACTTTGTAATACAAGTCTAGTACGCGAAGTACACTTCCGCATCTCCAGCTCGAAAATCGCAACTTTGTAGTACAAGTCTAGTACACGAAGTACACTTCCGCATCTTCAGCTCGAAAATCGTAACTTTGTAGTACAAGTCTAGTACGCGAAGTACACTTCCGCAGCTCCAGCTCGAAAGTCGCAACTTTGCAGTACAAGTCTAGTACGCGAAGAACACTTCCGCAGCTCCAGCTCGAAAATCGCAACTTTGTAGTACAAGTCTAGTACGCGAAGTACACTTCCGCATCTCCAGCTCGAAAATCGCAACTTTGTAGTACAAGTCTAGTACGCGAAGTACACTTCCGCATCTCCAGCTCGAAAATCGCAACTTTGTAGTACAAGTCTAGTACGCGAAGTACACTTCCGCAGCTCCAGCTCGAAAATCGCAACGTCAGCTCGAAAATCGCAGCTTTGTAGTACAAGCCTAGGCTGTACGCGAAGTACACTTCCGCATCTCCAGCTCGAAAATCGCAACTTCTCAGTACAAGTGTCGTATTTACAGAGCCGTGTGTTCGTTAAGGGTCATCGTTTTTGGGGGAGACCTCATCGTTTTCCATGGTTTTGGGATGTGTTACTCAAAAGCGTGCCCCGTCTTGATAAAGTGGTCTACGCGTGTTTTGTCCGTGGCTCATATATATATACATATATCGGGAATTTACACACATATCCTACCCCCTTCATGGATCCGCCAAGCTTGTCGAAGCCATTCAAACTGCTGCATAACATATGGTGCCCGGATGGAAAGGAGGAAAACTGTGCGCCTCACGGTGGCAAACTTTGTGAGTCCTACGCTATCGAGCCTCAGAATACACTTGCTCAAGTCATAACCAAAACCCCTGTATTAAAATGATCTACCCAGAGATATGTAAAAGATTAAGAAGGCGGCCGCAGCTATTGATGGTTGAAATTTGCCCTCACTAACCTTCATCTTCACGGGGATTTGATTGTGGCTCACTTGTAGGAGCACCTCCAGCAGGCGTGCCGGACTTCAACCGAATGGGACAATGCCTTTAAGGACAGAACAAACGAAACCTCCCAGCTTTGGTGTCCCTATCGTGCATGGGATTTGACCCAAATGCAACGAAAATCTGACGGCTTTCAGCCCAAACTCAAAAAACCAATTACACAGGTTGCGATTTAGGGATGAATCCTTCACACGCATTGTCCGCCAGCAATATTGGAGAGTGTTCCAACCTGGAAAGTATTGTTATCCCCAAATACATTTGGTAATGGGTCAAAACCCCGTACCCCCAATCAACATCCCAATCCCCACTAAAATAGACTAAAATGGGTGGTGCACCTACCCCAAAGCCATTTTAGCAGGAAACCACCGAACTCAAGTGGCTGGTGGACATGAATCCCCTTCAAGGGACAAAAGTGACCAAATCTAGTCCCAACTTCTTCGGTGAGACCATTGAAGAAACGAGTCTTATTCATAACCGCCCATCATATTAATATTTCTCCTAATTTCTACCGGAAAGATCCTCAATCATATGCCGTGCCTATATGTAAGTCTCCATTCCCATCTCTCTCTACCGCTCACCGTCTAACTTTTCCTCAACCCACTCATTTTTGGACTCATTGTCCACCGCCCTTGAGCTCTGCCATGCCAGGTCGTCGAGCTCTGCGCCGCAGCGCGCCAGGGGTTCTGGAGGCACACTGCAGAAGCAGGCCGAAGACCTGGCCACATGGAGTGGATGTCAGGGGGCACGTGCTGAATCCATCGGGGTTTTGGGACGCCGGAAGGGGATTCCCTGAAACGACAAAAGGGTAGGGTCATTCTATGGTTTGCTGAGAACCAGCCAGAGGAACGTAAAATATTACCAGGGTATGCCCTATCGGAGTTGGAGGTCGATGGTTGGGTGCATGAATTTTCGTCCATCCGCAGGATGCAGACCAGTTTGACTTGTTTCTAGACTTTACCAATTCCAACAAGGGTGCGGATCGGAGCGGATGTTCTGACCATCAGTACGAATCAGTACCTCCCAAAAACCCATGACTACCCAAAACCCATACCATGCACCTATAGAAGAAACTCTGGAATGATAGTTCCCATGTAAATACCAACACACATTAGTTTTAACCATGGTTTCTTAGGTGGTGCAAAATGGATTTCGTCCATCCACAGCTGTTTTGTGGACAATCCACGAAAGCTCGTCTGTTTGAACATGGAACGGTTCCTGCTATTTCCCTCCAAGGGAAAACTATCTGAAGGAACAACCGCTGAAAAAGCCTGGGTTTGGGACCCAAACCCCCGCTTAGATCTGCGCGAGATCTGGGGGGGGTATTCCGACCTGCAAATTGACCAACCGATAACCGTTTGAGCTTTAAAAGATGGCATTTGGGGGTTCCATGTGAAAACATATATAATAGACCTCCAGAAATCTTATATCCTGTCCCATCCAATATGGTTTTCTCTTGGTGCGGAACAGGTCCGGCGATGTTCTAAATGGGCCAATGGCATGCTACAGGCTTCCTTAAAGCTAATAAACAGCTGCTCCTGCTTCACGGGGATTCGCTCCAAAATCTGGTGTCTGGATGATTATTTTAGCGGCTTTAACCAAATTCTAACACCATAGATATGGATATCTGCCAAAATAGTGTAAAAAGGGTCAAACAAAGACATGCCAAGGGACCTTTTGGGAACCCTGCAACTCGCTTTCAAGCAGCTAGCTGCTCGAGCGAGCGAACAGGAGCCCAGCCTTCAGGAGGAGGCTGAAGAACCCTTGGCACATCCATGCCAACGCCTGCGATGGCTCTCCCGTCCAGACCGGCCGGTCGGAGCCTCAAACTACCCTAAGATCACCGAAGATTGTTGGGTCGCAATTTCCTTTTAAGGGTAGTTTGAGGGTGCCCCCAATAGGCATCTTTATCCACTAAAATGAAGTGACCAAAAGCTTGCAAGATCATCATACCCCCCCTCCCGCCAAGGAACCCAGAATCAAACAGGATGCAGTGTGAGTTCCACCGGCTCCCTTGGGTTGGAGGCACCCTCCTGGCTTGGAAGGGAATTGCAGCAGGTGAATGTCATGAAACCGACCAGGCAAGGCTGATTCGGGTGTGCCTTGAACAACTCCCCCAAGCATGTGCGGCGTTTGTTCCGCCTGGCTTCCCTTTTAAGCGTCAAGCAACCCAAAACAAGGGGGGTACCCTCAAAAACAAACCTGATTGAAGGAATCCAGTCAGCAGTGACGTGGGTCTTGTGGCTTCAGGCTGGGAAACAGAACGGAATTTCAGCAAAGGCTATTGCGGTTTAACCATTCAGTGGAACACCTTGCAATCATCCGCAGCACGCGTGCCAGCCTTATTTGGGCACGAAATGTTGGACAGGATCTCAAAGTTTGACATGGTGGAAAGTCACCCTATCGGTGATCCCGAAGAAGACCATGCCCATACTTTGTCACGCAAAAGGGGGTGCCGTGCTATCGCAGAAGTTGTCCTACAACCCAAGTTTTCCCAAACCTAAGTGCTCCCAAAACCTGGGTGCTGAATAACAATACGTAGTCCAAGCTTGCCCAAAAGACAACCACAACTCGAGACGGATACTTGCTCCAGAGCCCCCGAATCAAGACACCCGACTCAGGTTCTGAGGCAGACACCCGTGCAAAGACGCAACCAAGCAAATAAGACACTGCCTGGCGGACTGCGACTTGGAAGGCCTCGACTTTTCCCGGGAGGAGATCACACCGGGAGGTAGTGAAACATCTTTGTTTTGCCACTACAATGGCCTCTGGGAGTGAGTTCCAAACAATACCCGGGCAACCCAAAACCCACCTCTCACTGTGGCAAATGTACCGTATGATCCTTTCTGCTGCACAGTGTAATCTAGACAGCAGTTTGCAGCAAGGCCCTGCTCTTCAGAGATGGGCAAAGTACCTCATGAGGCAAAGAATCCGTTTTGCTTTTCCGGGGCTTCTCGGAAGCTTGCGGATCGCCCACCACGTACCAATCCCAGGCGTTCAACTCTAGGCTAAAGTCGTGATTCCAGTCTTCTAGCATCCCGCTATCATCAAGGGCAGTGAAATGACTATGGATGGACCGATGAAATGAGCTTGGCAAAAGACTGTTGAAGCCCGATGACGGATAGCGCGGTACGCACGTTTCCTTGCTGAGGAAGGAGGACTGCCGCGTCAAAGGATGACTTCCCGACAAGCAAGCAGCGCTTGCCGTGCAGAGACTCCAGGTACAGCCACCCAACCAAATTCAGCCTGGCATCCTCCAAATTACCCTGAAAGGTGGTTTAATTAAAGGGGGCTTCCCACCCAGAAAGCAACATGTTCAGAACCACCGCAAATGCCAGCAGTTCTCACCTTCTGCTAGCCCCCTTAGGCTAGCACCCACCAAACTCGTGAGCCGATCTCAACCTTGGCCGGGCACACCGCAGCGAGGAGAAAAACGCCTGCTATGTACAGTCCCGTCGTGGAAGGCAGGACACCTGGCCGCTGGCTCCGTCGACTTCGTCAGACTTCGGGCGACGGGTGGCCCGGCTGCGTGCAGCACAAGGCTTTTCGGTAGATGGGCCATCCTCGTGACATGCTTGCTACTGGGGATCCCCCGAAATTGCACCGAAAGTGGCACTACCTCACTACCCAAGCTTCCACAGACCATGCATGCTTTGAGCTGGGCGAAACACGCCACATGTTATAGGCGGCTTCTCAAGCAATGCGGGAGGTTGTATAAGCCCAACAATCATTCCGAAACCTGAAACAAGGAACCTATGTCATACCCTGCTTTACAACCTGGTGAGCTTGCCAGAGGCATGGTTGATTCCCTCAGTCGAACCTCTGGGTTGCATCCTTTGGGGTTTTGTCCCAACCGGAATCTTGAGTGGTCGACGCATCGGCTTCATTTGGGGTGTCTCAAAATTTAGGGCCGCATGGACTTGTTTGAAGCAGGTGATTTCAGCGATGACAGCAACGCAGATTTAGCTGACTTTCTCAAAGTTGGTTCGCTGATGTTTGCCCTTTCCGATTTTGTCGGCACTCAGAGTTCTGCTGTTTCTCCGATTCCCCCCGAAAAGATCGACCCTTTCCGTTGTATTGATAGGTCAGATCTACGATCCATGTTTAAACAGCAAGGCAGTCAGCAATTATTTTCTTGAGCCAATGTCATGGTAATATTCGTTCATGACAAATGTCTACCTGTCAACAACACCCCCTGCTTTGCGAAGGAGCGTCGTAGTGACGAGGAAAAGCTATATACATTCCCCCCTTTCCCCCCTTGGTCCGGCGTAAAGAACCCAAGGTCTGAGCGATTCGACGAATGTGGTCATCGGGTTGACAGGCGGTATGGCAAATGCAAAATGGAGCTCATCCATGTGTGCCGCAACTTGCATGGCAGGATCAATGACATCTGTCGCTGCCGCAGCGAGTTTTCACGCTGGCACCCACATGTATTGCTTTGCAAATGCCGGCCTCGACTTCCCTCATGCATCAGTTTTGGGTTGAAGAACCCTTGACATGAATTGGCATGCATCTGATCGGCGGTTGCAGTTCGTGAACCTAACATCACCAAGCATAATGAACATGAATTGATAGAGCAACGGGGTGCTTCACAGGTCGTTGAAAAGATGTTCCCGCGAACATCTACCGTCGTCACTGGCCCTCATACCACTCACGATTCCACCCCCGCGACCATCCCTGGCTCCACCAGCCACTCTCGGCATCCCGCTTGCCATGGCCCTTGCCCTTGCCTTTGGTCTTGCCCTTCTGATACGGCTCAGGCCTGGTGCTGCGGGTGGTGGCACGCCATTCCGTGGATCTCGCTTCGACGGGGTGTGTCTTGGTCCGGCCAGATGTGTAGGTTGGCATCTCGAGCTCCCCTGTCACAAGCTTCCTGTCAGGGTCGTGAGTCGTGCTTCTTCCACGAGGCCTTGGCGAAACTGACGAGAACTCCAAGGATGTTCTCCGCCGTACCCTCAGAAACATATTGACCGCTATGGCCAATAATGATGGGCCGGACTGTTTGAGGATGATGCCCCTCATCTTGGCCATGTTCCTGTCCGCCTCCTCCTTCAGTTTGCTTTTCGAAAGTTCCATGAGGATCTTGAGCTGCTCAAATGTTCTTTCAGCTTCGTTGCGCTCAGCAGCCCAGTTTCGCCTCTCTTCGTTGTACTCCTGCTCCTTCGCCATGGACTCCCGTTTGCACTCGTTAATGGGGTGTAGCTCGTCTTAATATAATCGGCCTTTTTCTTCTGTATGGCCGGCTTGTAGTTGACTGTCGCGGCGTGCCGAAGCATAGGCCGCCAGCTCGTCTGCGCTTGATCCAGCATTGACCACATTAACAGTCTGCTGATTGTGATGGTAATGTTCGGAGCGCTCACGTGGTGTTGATGCAGATGCATCTCGTTCTTGGTTAAGTGAGCATGGGCCTTCGGTCGCGATTGAACGTCGGCGTGAGGTTCCCTCCGCAGTTCGTGGCATGCTCCCGGAGCGTGATCGAGGTGATAGGCGCGAGCGTATCACCCGGATCCGACTCTGGAAAACTGCTTCTGGAACGTTGTGACGGGTTCCCAGGCGACTTCCCTTCCGGAAGTCCACCCTTCATGAGTTCAATGGCCACTGCTTCGTTTCGTTTCGCTACGTCAGGGTGGCACCGTCGCTGCGTGACGCCATTGCAACGCGGGTGAGAAGTAATTGCTGTACAAGGTACCAGCGATACGGCTGACAACGATAACCTATTGATAGGTCAAAGCTACCTATAAACAGCAAGGCGGTCAGCAACTATTTTATTGAGCCAATGTCATGGTAATATTCGTTCATGACAAATGTCTACCTGTCAACAACAGGTTTGCCTTGAACACCAGCCCCAACAAATGGTATCAAAAAAGGCTCCAAGCCATGAACGTCATTGCGGACGAAGGCGCCTCTGTCTGCGACCTGTCTTGGGCGCCAGTTGATGCCGAAGTTATCACTCACACAGTAGTCCCAGGCGGGTTCCATTCCTGGCACATGGCTATGCCTCATAGGGGAACCTGAAAGGGTATCCCACAAAAGAAACCTCTTCCTGCACCAGGGGTCAACGGCGCGAAACAGCCAAGCTGAGGTATATACTGCATGGATGTCCATTATGTGAGTGAGGCGTGTTCAGATAGGCCAACAACTCCGTCCCATGCATCTGCTGCGCCGAGATGGTGCTGGCAAAAAACAACAGACTAAAACCAGCTTGGCTTGGTTCCACCTGAACATAAACAGAAACCGTGAGAAAAGGGAACGCGACAAACTGAGGCAATTTTATCCTTTACAGGTTTCAGGTTCTATTTTCAAACTGAAACTGAAGCCAGCAATGAAACCTATGGACCAAGTATTTAAAATCACGCACCCGCTTTTCCGCTGCTGCCAGACGCGCTCAGCAATTTGCAGCGCACGCATGAATCCAAGACCTGCCAAAACCTAGCGGCGAGCGTCTGAGAGCTTGGAGAAATCTGTGGGGAACAACGCTGCTGCCTTCGGACCACCAGGAAGAGAGTAATTCAGAGGATGTCCCCTAGGGCTCAGTCCAACAGGAGTCCTGCACATAACAAGCTCACCGGTCCGGGGGTAAAATGAGCGATTCTCGCCATGATAAAGTTAGCTGCGTGGCCCAAACCCTCTCAGCAGGAGCAGCTGCGGCAGAGGGTTGGGCGGGTCCAATGCGTCGAAACAAGTGCTCCAAACAAGCCCGCGGCTTGTCACTCGAATCGACTCCAACCGAAGCTGGGGCGACCCAAAAGGCCCAGCGCTTCCTCTGGGCACGAGCCAGGATCCACCTGGCGTCGGCCCCGCCTTGGGGGTTGCGGAAACCTACTTGGGTGTGTGTTCTTTAAGGGGACCCACTCAAAATGGTGGTGTTTGGTTGGTTTCCCTTTAAAACCGACCAAAAAAGGTGCCCTCGAAGCAAGATAATTAGACCCTCTTGTTTTACTCGGTTCCATGTAGGGCCCTAAGCCTTCTTTGTGACCTTCACCTTCTTTACCTTTTCGGTTTCTGGGCCTGAAAGCCAGACGAGGGGGGCCCCCAAGTGTGTTGGAAGTATAGGGTTTCGAACTGGCGCGAACGGATTTTGTCCACAGTATGACTACCATGGCAATTGTCCCGAACAACTCTCCGCTGCGATCCTCGCACCAGGAGTAGGACTTCCCGGCAAAGGAGCAGCCGAAGTAGTCCTGTGCGACTCAAAGCTGAGGCGTTTTTGCGCTTCTGGGGGCGTGCAAAAACCAAGACAAACCGAGGAAGCGCGTCTAAGAAGTTGTCAACTACCCCCAAACCACTACCCTGAAGAAAAAATGTGTATATAGCATTATATAACCACAACACAAACATAATAAAGAAACCACAGGTTAATTTCTACCAACCCAAACCTAAGTTGAAACCCAAGATGGCAACCTGTTCAAACGGCTTTGTTCCACCAAACTGCTTCAAGAACCTCTTGGTGTCCCTCAGGAGATAGTCAGAATGTTCCCCAAGCCGCAAATCAAAGAAAGAAACCAAATGACGAAACGACAAATTTCCTTGCAAACAAATCCGAATGTGGGCGCCAACCCCTTTAATCTCCCCACAAAGCTCCCAAAAGGCGGTCGATATGTAGATGGAATGGG